TTTCGAACATTTTGTCCAGGACACGTTTCCACTATTCTCAATATCTCAAAACTTTCTTTCAACCCCTATATACTATTATACATCACCATAAACCTTATAAATTCAGTACAAAGCTGCATATACAAAATTTTCAAAATTTGTTAATAACAATTTAAAAACTTACCACTTTTGCAGACCGTTCTCTCTTGTCTCGATTCTCGATGACCAGCTTGTTATACCTCAAGGCGTTGTGTCGAACTTGAAGATCGATTTCTTGATTTCTCTTAATTTGTTGTTGATTTTTTGTGCTCTTTTGCTGCAAATCTCCTAGAAAAATAATAAAAATAATAATAAATATAAATAAAAATAATAATAAAATAATAAATAAAATGACACTAATGTAATAAAAAATATTTATAAATTAAGATAAAGTCAAACATTTTTTTAATGATGATGTTGGTGTAAGAGTTATTTATAAAATATTGTTTATATAATTTAATATGCCTACCAAACAGATTTAAGTATAATTTTACCTTAAGGAAAGTTCTACAATTTAAAAATAATTTATTTATCACTAATATTAAAAATATTAATATTTTTACCTAACATTTTCCAAATGTCTTTGAGCTTCTTCCAACTCTCTATTGACTAAAACTAAAGCCATTCCAGGTCCACTTCGAGCTACATCTTTTTCTGGAAACCTACTAAAATAATAATACTAATAAATTTATAAATTAACTCTTAATACAAAAAAACACCTTAAAACGATTTTCTAGACAAATTTTTGTAAGTACATTAAAAACATTGTAGTTGATCTGAAAATATTTCAAATATTTTGACGGTGTGGTAAATTTTTAAAAATGCTATAAATTGTTTAAATATGTTACAAATTGTCTAAAAATGTTATAAATTATAAACAATGTTAATAAAGTTCATCCCTCTGAAACAAAAATAACACAAGTTCACTAAAAATCAATTTTAACCAGCCCTTGTATTTTTATTCCCCCATTACCAAGTTTTACTTCTATTAACAGAATTGTTTGTATTGTTTTAGATGACTGATGTAACAATTTATAAAAATCTTTTCTACTTACTATGATATTTTAGCAGTCTGTTTAGCCATAATATATTCCTCCAAAGCAATTTGTGGTCTGCAATCGAAAGGCACCAATAAACCAGGAGGTTTAACCGGTTTACCAACATTTTTTTTATCATTTTTACCACTTTCTTCATTTTTACCGCTGTCCAAATTAGCCATTTTGATAATAAACTCTTATTTATAATTATATTTTATCCTGAAGGTATTTATTTTTAGTTGAACTTGACAACGGTATTGATTTAACAATGCAGATACCACGTTGGGGTGGTAATTTTTTAATATATTGATGAATGTAATTAATATAATCAAATTTTTATTTTATTTCTCGACTTGGGAATTTAATTCGTTACGTAATCACGCTCGTATATCGAATCGCTCGTATGTTGAAGCAATTATTTCCATATAAATAAATTGAAATGATATTAATTCGTTCCAGCGTTTTCGGTTTTGTCAAGTTTTTTGAATATAAAATATAAATTTATTATTTTTTATAATTTAATTGTCAGATATATTTATCTAGACTGGAAACTAATGCAAATTTTTGGAGGGATTTTTATCCATAAAGTTCAGAAGTAGCTTATTAATATATTAATTATTTTAAGACTTTTAGGTAGATTTATAACCTTTTTATACAAAGTCTTTCATTTTAAACACAGTGCCTCATATTTCTTATTAATTTCACGTTTAAATTTAAGAGACATGAATATAAATAATATTTTGTAAATGTTCAAAAAGCACGAAACGCGAATTCAACATATATAAATGTACAATCACTATTAATATATAGTTAAAATTTCAAATGTTAAAATAATCTTCGATAAATTCATATAATTTGTATCTATTATATCTAATAACGAACAAATTGTATATCTTATTGAGTTCAGCGAGTGCGTTTTTTGACAAAACTGCATTTTGAAAATAAAATTTATATGAAAGTATAAAAAACAATTAATGGCGTTAAATAACTAATAAAATTCAAAATAAGCTAATATATAAATATATATTCATTCCTAAACATAATTTAGCATAAAATTGTTGTTAAACATTTTATAGCATTTCACGGACGATTCTATCTATTATCGATTCAGCGCGGTCACTTTTTTGACAAAATTAGATTTTGCAGAAAAATTTGCATGAAAACTTAATAAACCAGTGAAAGGATTGAATAGACAATAAAATTTGCAATAAACTGATATATAATAGTATATACATTCTTTAACAAAATTTACGAGAATTTTAGATGCAAAAGGCTGGTTCGCATTTAATTACGATTCTATCTATGAATAAGTTCAGCGAGTGCACTTTTATGACAAAATTGCATTTTGCACAGAAAACTCATATGAAAGTATGAAAAACAATTAATGACGTTAAATAGACAATAAAAGTCTAATAATAAGCTGATTTATAATAACATATACATTCTTTAACAAAATTTACGCGAATTTTAGTTTGCAAGATGCAGGTTTGCATTTAATTAGATTTCGGGCACGATTCTAACAATAAGTTCAGCTAGTGCACTTCTTTAACAAAAATGCATTTTACAAAGCAAATTTATATAAAAGAATAAAAAACAATTAATGATGTTGCATAGACAATAAAATTGCCAATAAACTGATATATAATAATATATACATTCTTTAACAAAAATTATGCGAATTTTAGCTTGCAAGGTGCAGATTTGCATTAATTTCGATTTCAGGCACAATTGCATTTTGCAAATTGCATTGCAAATGCGGACAAACTGCATTTTGCATAAAAAAATTATATGAAAGTATAAAAAACAATTAATGGCGGTGAATAGACAATACAATTTTGCAATAAATTGATATATAGCAGTATATACATCATTGAACAAAATTTACGGTAATTTTAGCTTCCAAAATGCAGATTCTAAGTTCAGCGAGTGCACTTTTTGACAAAATTGCATTTTGCATAGAAAACTTATATGAATGTGTGACAAACAATTAATGGCGTTCAATAGACAATAAAATTCTAAATAAACTGATAAAAAATTTTAGCATAAAAATGTAAACGTAAGAAGTTTAGGAAAATACTCATAAAAACAATCAAATTTATTTCTGTCTCTTGTGTAATAAATAATTTATTCCTCAACAAATTACAAATAAAATGTATTCATTAACTCCTACTCTATATAAACTATTATATATAAATAAATACTTAAAATATGTAATACTTATAAGACAAATATAAAAATAATCTATCCCCTATTACTACTGTAAGGAATTCTGGACACGTACACTATTTTCTTTATTATTAACCTCAGTCATCAGATCAATATCGACCCATGTTCTTTCATTACTGGACTTTTTGATAGCGTCCAAAACAGCCTGGACATACAATCCATCTTCGAAAGAAGCTGCCAGCTGTACAGGCTCCTTTATCCAACCAGCCTTGTCCTCGACTGGTAGAAAAGCCTCTCTGAGAGCCCCAGTGAGCTTGCAGAGACCCTTGATGTATGGCATTGGCAAGATGTCGACGCCCTGGGATTGGGCCACGTCTTGGTCGTCCATATAAAGGACGACTTCTGTAAAAAATAATAATAGAAATAATATACTTGTATCTAGTTCTATATATATATATATATATATATATATATATATATATATATATATATATCTTATATATATATATAATTCTTTTTACCTTTATTACTTCCTGAATCTCTGTGTATTTCATAACAGCATCCATACAAATCTCCTCCACGTACTGCCAAATGTCCAGTACGACTGCACATGACTACTTCTTGTTGAAATTTTGCACCAGGAATATGACTGCTCAAAGTAGCAGTCACCAAACAACCATTCTCCAGTTCCATTTGAAACGTACAAAAGTCTGGTGCCGAAACATGCCTGATACCATTAACATACGGTGTTGTTTTTGTAAAAGTCCTAATAGTACCGTGAACTCTAACAGCAGTCTTGTTTGTAAGAAATTTAATCAAGTCTATTATATGACTCCCGACAAGATTTAAAATGCCTCCACCCATTGTAGCATCACACAACCAGTCGTACTTATTATGCAACAACGATGCCATTTGTACTCGTACATCAACATTGGATATATCATCAATATCACCCAAGTACCCACCACGTAAAACCTCATACATTTTTGTAAATGCTGGAAAGAACCTCAAGGAATGATTTAATATAGATATCAACGACGGGTAGTACTGGCAAGCTCTGACCATTTTAGAAGCGTCCAATTGATTTAAACCAGCCGGTTTATCACATACGACATGTTTGCCTATTCCTAAAGCTTTTACAGAAATCTGGGAATGTAGGTAAGGTGGGCATATGATGAATATGAGATCTACATGTTTTCTGAGTAGTACTTCATCGATTTTGTTTGTGTAGAATGGAATGTTGAGTTCCTTGGCTGTTTGTTCAGCTTCTTGTATTGTTCGGCCCCATAGGGCTTCAATTTTGAAGCCTCGTTCACGTAGTAAAGGCACTAGGGCTGATGCTAGGGCACCTGTGCCGAAAACACCAATACCAGGCAACATGGTAATGGTAATAGATATAAGAAGTATGAAACACTCTTAGTTAGAAATAAATTTAATTTGACTTCATGGAAACCACAGTTTTTTGATCGAATACACCAAACTACTTATAAAGATATCATTTTGGTAAAATCAAATTGTATTTAACCATGTAGACAATATTTTAATAAACATTACAGAACCTCAGTACAGTTTTAATACAAAAATGTTATTTACACATGACTTGTGTTCTACATATATTTATAGAACGTATTGAAGATTTACCTGAGGTATATTATTGAAAACTTACATAATCTGCACAAATCACTTATTAAAACACTATTATTTATTTTTTTACACGTATTTTAGCACAAAATTCTTGTTTATTTCACATCTGTCAAGTTGACATCATACCTAACCTAACTTACTTTGAACTGTCATCGAATTTCTGACAAAAGTTTTATATATTCTAATAAAATCTAATTTAATTCTGCATTATAATTTATAACTGCATTAATTAATTGGTATCAAATTAATATAATGTTAATAGGCAGTAAAGTTTCATACATTTTTAATACGAAAATGTTGTTTGCACAAGACTTGCACAATTTGATAAATATTTATAAATTTATAAGATACTATAATTTATATTAATCCAAACTTACATATTCTGCACAAATCACTTACTAAAACACTATTATTTATATTTTTACACGTATTTTAGCACATAACTCTTATTTCTTTTACATTTTAAACTCACTTGTCAAAACTTATTTGACACTTTACACAATTCTTATTTTCAACTGTCATCCACTCTCGACAACTTCACGTAGCTGTCATAATCATTACATTAATTTAAAATAAAAGTATTTACTTAAAATACTTTAGTAAATAAATAATTATTTATATTTTTATACGTATTTTAGCATAAAATTCTTATTTATTTAACAATATAAAGAAATAAGTGCACATAACCTATCTTTTTATCAACTGTCATTTAGTCTAAGCGACTCCGTCGTGTAGCTGTCACTTATTACCAATATTTATTTTTACAAAAGTATTTATTTAAAATACTTGAATAGTGCTGAATTAAATAAAAATGTTGACAACACTAAGAAAAGCTATAGTAAGACCATAAAACAATTTATCTTAACACAGTACTGATAGTGCTTACATAATAACTGTGTGTTAAATCATTTTTATTGTTTTTAGTCTATAAATCTTCGTGGTCTCCACACCTCGTCTTACAGATTGCATGATGCAATTTTCAATCACAGAGACACCCCTGAAGACAATGCCGATACACCTTTTGATTTTACACCAGAAAACTTAAAAGTATATACAAGTCAAGTCAAACGGTTATGGTATATGTTGATTTTAACACAATGTTTTATTATTGTAGAGGGCTGAAGCTATTTTAGCTATTTATCCGGAAGGGCATAAGCGTGGTGCTATGATTCCTTTGTTGGATTTGGCTCAAAGACAACATGGATGGTTGCCGATAGCCGCTATGCATAAGGTAAAAAAATTGAACTTGTAATTTGCTTAAGGCAACATTGATGATAATTAAAATCAGGAGTAAATTGTAATTGAATAGTAATAAATAATTAGATTTAAATATTTTATATATATTAAATATTTGCTAGGTTGCAGAAATCTTAGGATTGCCAAGAATGAGAGTGTACGAAGTAGCTACATTTTACACCATGTTTATAAGGTCAGTTATAAACTATATATATATATATATATATATATATATATATATATTCTTAAACATTTCTCTAAAAACCATGTTTTGCCTTCAGACCTAGCCTTCATTGAACGAAAATTCAAAATTAAACTTAAAAACTAAAATGTATAACAATTTAGTTTGAAAAGTTACAGAAAAACAATTTAATTTAATAGCATTCATTCAAAAAATAATTTTGGAAGGATCTTTTATTACCATTTATAATTTATTTTCAATATTCAGTAAAAGAAGGCTAGGTCAATAGGTAAATTATTATTATTATTTTTATTACCTAGGAGGCCAATAGGTAAATACCACGTCCAAGTATGCACAACAACCCCCTGTTGGCTGAGAGGCTCCGATGAAGTCGTAAACACTTTAAAAAATAAACTTGGAGTAGAAGTTGGAGGCACTTCACAATGCGGCAAATTCACTTTGGGTGAAGTTGAATGTTTAGGCGCTTGCGTTAATGCACCAATGATGCAAATAAACGATGACTATTATGTATGTTAATAACTGAAATATATATATATATATATATATATATATATATATATATATTTAAATATTGAATTGCAGGAGGACTTGACTGTGAAGGATGTTGAGCAAATAATTGATGACTTAAAAGCTGATAAGAGACCTGCATCAGGACCTAGGTAATATATATATATATATATATATATATATATATATATATATATATATATATATATATATATATATATATATATATATTTGTTTATTTATATAATTGTCCTTTACAGAAGTGGTAGATTTGCCTCAGAGCCCCTGGGTGGTTTAACTTCCTTAACAGAAGAGCCCAAAGGCCCAGGTTTCGGTTTACAACCTGGTCTGTAGTTAAAACAAATTAAATTAATGTACATAAATTTAAAATACATAATTTAAAGTATAATGAATGTATTTACGTAAACAATAAAAATATATAATGCAAAGAATACTTTTCATATCATATAAATCGTGCAACTGACTGCATAATAAATTTTCTTATACAAGAGAACATTTAATACAATATAAATTCTTTTTTTCTTTACATAATCCTCGCATTTCATATACATATTTGTAATCCTATACTAATAATAATACGTATATTAAATATATAAATATACCAATTTGGTAATTAAATATAAATATATATGTGATAATTATAAACAAAAACGATTTTTATACAGATGTTCATACAGTTAATAAAAGATTATGTTTAAAAAAAAGTATTAAAAAGTCTTAAGATAAAGTAACTTAACTAATAAATAAAATCTATGCAAAAAATTAGAAGAAAATTGCTAAAAATAATTAAAACTAGTGTTTGTTTTAATTTATAAATAAAATACATTTTTTTAAATACTGGGTGGACAACTGTATAATTTTTTGTTTGTTTATAATTATGTAAATACATAATTATAATATATATATATATATATATATATATATATATATATATATATAACTCAGTAATTCATTTATTTATAAAAACTTTAATAAAAAAAAAGATTTTTTCTAAACATATAATGTAAATATTTGTGAGTTCCCTTCTTTATTCAGCATCATAATAGGTAGCTCTGCAAATAAAATAAAAAAATTGTACTTAAAAGTTATCAATTGAACAAAAACAGCATCAACAAAAGCAATGATACATTTTGTGAGATTCATGTAAATAACTGCCTTTTCTACTTAAATTACGCAAAAATAATATAAATTTACTTTTGTAGAATATTTAAACTGTATTTTTTTATTACCTTTGTTTATTTCCATTACGTTTAGAAATACGTCTGCCTGTAGACTTCATAGTCAAAGTAAATCTCTCCGTATGCTTAGGCGCCGTTCTGATTTCACGCTTCTCAAATTTACTAGCCTTATTCACCTGCAACAACCACACATTACATTAAAATTCCTGCACACAAACTGCAATTATCCATTACCCACCTTTTCCATAAATCTGGCAATCAGCTCGGGGCACGATAAATTCTCCTCAGGTTCCCAAGTGTCTTCGTTCGAGGTGCAGCCCTTCCAGCGAATTAGAAACTCTTTGGCTCCATCTTTTCTGTGATGTACTTCTATAATTTTTTCAACCTGGGGAAGAAGATATATGTTGTAAGGAATTTTTTTTTTTAATTTTATTTTCATTCTGCAATCTATAAAAATAATTATAATTAGTGTATCTACTATGATTAATATAAAAAAAATAATCTAAAGACAAATATGGAGAAAAATATATATATTTATATAAAAATAAACTATATTAGATCTCGAGGAGGTATTTTTCTTTTGAGCCTGGTGGATGAAATGTTTGTGAAAGTTCAAATTAAAAGGGCATACCTCGTATTCTGCATCGGGGTCTGCAGGTTTTTGGGGTTTTGGTGGTGATTTTGCAGCCTTCTTTTTGGGTTGAGATTTTTTACTGGATTTACCTTTGGGTGAGGTATTCTGAGAGAAAAAATAAATAAATGATTAAACAAACATAAAACTTTATATATATATATATATATTGAATGGTAGAGTCTTGGATTTGTGTATATTTTGTAGAGTTTCGAACAACAATCCAAAAATAATACAAAATAAAAAACAAGAAAAGTTTTTAAAAAAACAATTTCTTTATTTAATTATTTGTTTATTGTCGACGTTTCGGAACTAGGTACGTTCCATCTTCAGGACATCTGTCAAGAGACATGATTTTGATGAGATTTTAGCAAACAATATGTTTAGGAAAAGAAAATAGATTTTTCTTAAATAATGAATTAATTGAAATAAATATAATAATGTACAGAAATATGATAATATGTTCAAAATAAAAATGATAAAAATAAATGAGTGGATTATCAGAACAGGATATTAAACATAATAGAAAGTTTTTTTGAAAGTTATGGAAATTTTTTAAGAAAAGGTTAATGACAAAGTTGAATTAATTACCTGTATGTTTGAATATTTGTTAGCACTTTTTCACTAAACAAGCTTTTTTAACAAAAATGAATTTGTGAGTTAATTTTCCGCCGAATAATTAGATTTTGTAAATCAAAATTACTAAAAGATTTGTCTTTTTTAAAATTATTATTTGAAAACACAAATGATATTATTCTCTGGATGTTGTTCGATTGGCTTTCGAAAATTAACTAATTGAAACTGGTGTGTCCTTTGTAACACGTGTAAACACTCACATGTCTCGTTCAAGTGTTTACACGTGTTACAAAGGACACACCAGTTTCAATTAGTTAATTTTCGAAAGCCAATCGAACAACATCCAGAGAATAATATTATTTGTGTTTTCAACTAATAATTTTAAAAAAGACAAATCTTTTAGTAATTTTGATTTACAAAATCTAATTATTCGGCGGAAAATTAACTCACAAATTCATTTTTGTTAAAAAAGCTTGTTTAGTGAAAAAGTGCTAACAAATATTCAAACATACAGGTAATTAATTCAACTTTGTCATTAACCTTTTCTTAAAAAATTTCCATAACTTTCAAAAAAATTTTCTATTATGTTTAATATCCTGTTCTGATAATCCACTCATTTATTTTTATCATTTTTATTTTGAACATATTATCATATTTCTGTACATTATTATTTTTTACAATTTAATTCATTATTTAAGAAAAATCTATTTTCTTTTCCTAAACATATTGTTTGCTAAAATCTCATCAAGATCATGTTTCTTGACAGATGTCCTGAAGATGGAACGTACCTAGTTCCGAAACGTCGACAATAAACAAATAATTAAATAAAGAAATTGTTTTTTTAAAAACTTTTCTTGTTTTTTATTTTGTATTATTTTTGGATTCTTGTTCGAAACTCTACAAAATATATATATATATATATATATATATATGCAATAATGTGATAGCAATATTAATATAAATGATAATAATATATAATTTCCTACCTTGTCAGTGAATTTAGCTATCAAATCTGGACAGGACAAATTTTCCTCTGGTTCCCAAGTATCACTTTCAGGTCCGTGGTTTTTCCAGCGAATGAGGAACTCTCTGGCACCTGATTTCAGGTATTGCACATCCATTATCTTATCAACCTAAAAAAAATACATACACACACATATATATATATATATATATATATATATATTTATTATATGACAATAAAACATAAATTTCCTTCAAAAGGTATTATAAAAAATGCGTACGTTTCGGCTATAATCCTAGCCTTCATTGGGTGAAATCTGAAAATAAAATTTAAAAACTTGAATATCTTGAGGATTTTTTGTTTAACATTGAAGCATATTGAAATGAATAAAACAGCCAATGCGTCGAATGTAGAAAAGTTTATTTTAATTTTTTTTATACGTTTCGGGGCTAGATGTGTCTCATCATTCAGCTAAAAGAAATTTACAATATAAGGAAAAGTTTTAGAATTAAAAATATAACATTAGAAAAATTAATTAAAAGAACCAAATTATACACACAAGATCAGGACTAGATCTGGAAACTAGAATATATAACAATTAAGTTAGAAAAAATACATTAGTACAATTTATTAAAAGTATTTTTAGTAGTAAAGCATTTTTTATAACCATTTATAATTTATTTTTATCGCGTAAATGAAGGCTAGGTCTATAGCCGAAACGTATGGATTTTAGAATAGTTTTTACAGAAATTCATGATTTTTATTATAAATATTTTTATTATATATATATATATATATATATATATATATATATTCTAATATTTATATTTATATATTATGAATATAAATATAATATATATATATATATATATATATATATATATATTGTTGGGCACCGCGTTGATGAACAGAAAGGGCTGTTGGCGCCGCTATATGCAAATCGGTGTTGTTGCTCTGGACCTTCCGGAGTTCCTGAAACTCACTTGCTGAAAATACTTGAGATTGATAAATGAAAAAACTATTTCAAAAACTTCACTTTATTTCACTTTAAGTACAAGGAACTCGGAGGTATTGGAAGAGAAGTGTTTGCCCGGCGACCGACAGATTAAGACTGATTTATTTCATAATTATTAAAACTAAAATCCTTTGAAACGTAGTGGGGATTTGTCTCGAATGTTCTATACAACGAAAAGGACAAAGTAATGAATTTAGCTGATTAAACAAAATGTTATTCATGCGAACTTGGTGAGAATTGTTAACTCGGCGGAATGTCGATAATAGGATCTTGCTGAGATTTGTCGATGCAGATTTATGATTTCGTGAGAGAATGTTAATGTCAGCTACTACGCAGTAGTCTGAGAAAAGTTAATATGAACCGTTAATATCAGCTAAAGCTCAAGGGTTCTAAGATTTCAGTCTGGACTTGTTAGGAATCTAATATTATGACAGTGGTTAGCAACTTATAATATCAGGGGTGTACAACAATATATATATATATATATATATATATATATATATATATATAACCATTTATAATTTATTTTTATCGAGTAAATGAAGGTTAGGTCTATAGCCAAAACGCACGGATTTTAAAATAAATTTTAAAGAAATTCATGTTCTTATTATATATATTTTTACTATATATATATATATATATATATATATATATATATATATATGTGTATATTATTACCTCATAAACTGGCTCCTCATCGGTAGGTAAAATTTCCTCAGGTTCTGCTTCGTCATTATCATTTTCCTCCTGTATAAAATGCAAGACAATAGCAATATTAGTAAACACAAAATTTAAAATAAATATTTAATAAAATCTATTGTTTGAAACAGAACTTGTATAAATATAAATATAGAATAATGGGATTGAATTACAACAATAATAAGTTCAAATTTCTGATAAATAGAGAATATATATATTTTATCAAATAAAATAATATGTCCAATAAATTACCTCTGCACTTTTGTCCTTTTTAGCTTTTTTGCCCTTTTTCTTGGCATTTGCTGGAGCTCCTCGTTTCTTGGGCAATTTCTTTTTTAGCTAAATATTCAAAAAAAAGTGAAATAGTTTTTGAAAGATTAAAAGTTTCTTAAATTAGATGTTGATATAAAATATTTTATTTGAATTCAAAAGTCGGGCGTTATATCAATAAAAAAAAAATAGTATGAGAGTTTTTAGAAATTTATTTAAATTTAAAAAAAACATTTCTTTCTTTATTTTTTTATTATTACTGTCGACGTTTCGGAACTAGGTACGTTCCATCTTCAAGACATCTGTGAAAAAACGTGATCTTGATAAGATTTAAACAAGCAATATTTTTAAGCAAAATAGAAAATTGTAGATTTTTTATATAAAATGAATAAAATTATGAAAAAATAATGTACAGAAATATGACAATAAAATCAAAATAAAAATAAAAATAAATGAGATTATATAACAAAATATTAGAATTGTTAGAAAATTAGAAAGTTTTAGAAAGAAAAACAGAATTAACTAGCTGTAAGTGGAATTCTGTCTTGAGGCAATTATGGCATCGTGCCTTAAGGCAAATTGCTGGAACTTCCCGTTGAATACTGAATGTTTTCAAATAGATTATTATAAATATTGTATCATTGTCTAATATAAAATAATAAAATAAAATCTGAAATATTTTCGATATACAAAAAACTAAAAAAAAAAAAAAATGGAACAAAATTTTTTTTTCCAAGATAAATTATTTTGTTAAGCAGAAAGTTCTTTGAATCATTTCAATCGGACGCTTAGTTCTCTCAAAAACTGCCATTTTTTACATATTTAGCTCCGTATCTTCAAAATGGCTGGGCCTGCCTTTGCCAAAAATTAATAAACACTTCTCCCAATCATTACTAATTGAATGTTTTTTAGTTCATTCAAATCGGATACTCCGTTCTCTCAAAAATACGATTTCTATTTTCTGCACTCTTTGCTCCGTATCTCCGAAACGGCTGGACCTGCCTTTGCCAAAAACTAATCAGCTCTTTTCCCTATCAATAGGAATCGAATGTTTTTTGAACCATTCAGATCGGTTGATCCGTGCGCCCTAAAACGTGACTGGAAATTTGTATCCACACATACATACACACACACACACACACACATCCATTTTTTCTGAGGTATGCCAAAACGTTCAGAAACCTTCATAACGTCGAGAAATGTAGAAATTTTCAATTCCGATTTTCGGCCCATTACAATAACTTACCCTACGGGAAGTTAATAATAGAAATAAATGAAATTATATAACGAGATATTAGAAATGTTAGAAAATTAGAAAGTTTTAGAAAGAAAAACAGAATTAATTATCTGTTTTTCAAAATTTTCTTACCCTTTTTAAAACCTCCTGATTTTCTAACATTTCTAATATTTTGTTATATAATACACTAATTTATTTTTATTTTTATTATTTTCATTTTGATTATATTGTCATATTTTTGTAATATTATCATATATTGTCATATTTTTGTAATATTATCTCTTCCAGAGTTTTATTCATTTCATATATAAAAAATCCATCATCTTCTGCTTTTGTTAAAACATATTGTTTGCTTCAATCTTATCAATATCATGTTTCTTGACAGACGTTCTGAAGATGGAACGTGCCAAGTTCCGAAACGTCCACAGTAAATAAATAAAGAAATGGATTTTTAAAAAACTTTTTGTTTTTTATTACTTTTTGGATTCTTTGTTCGAAGCTCTACAAAATATTTACAAATCCAAGACTCTACCATCTAATATATATAAATAGAGCAAGTAAAGCAGTTCCAAAATTTCAAAAAAAATCCTAAATTTAAAAAAAATCCTAAATATTCGAAATTAAGAAAAAACAATTTTTAAAAGATTCCGAAGATGAATATCAGATTTTATTGAAGTGTTCTAAGTTTTTCTAAAAAATTCAGAAGTTAATTAGCTTTGCAATTCTGTTTCAAATTGTTTATATAACATAAATAAAAAATATGTGATAAATTCTTCGGAAACGTTCCGATTAGAATGCATTTCGATCAGGTTTTGTTTATTATTTTTGCCTTTCTTGAGAACATGTACAAAGGTCGTTCGCCCAAAGAAAAGCACTTTAATAAACTTCAGCTTTGCAAAATATTTATATAACATAAATAAGAAATATGAGATAGAGTCTTCGGAGGCGAGGCGAGTAGGTTGCATTCCGATAAGGTTTGTTTATTATGTTCTCGTATATTGTAAACATAGATAAAGTTCGTCGTAAACAATATAATATAAACGCTTATATTCATATTAATATTTATGATAATGATTTAATGAAAATATTTAGAACAATTATTCTTAGTCATTTGTCAATTTTAATTGATTATAATTATCAACTTTCTGAGATGTGCCAGAAATTAAAATAATATAAGATACAGTCCACAGTATATGTTTGGCAGATGAAATTATATAATTCAGATTAATAAATAATGCATAAGTCCAAAATTGCATATACATTATTTTTTTAAACTTATGCATGTCGCATTTTCGGTTTACTTTAATAATTATTTAACAATACAAAAAATATTTCTGCTAATTAAAAAAATGATTTAGAATTTTGTTTCATGTGTCGAAAATTCATTAGTTTGGCATTAGATATGGAATATTTAGCAAGTTGATCTTAGATTGAAGAACTAGATTTTACAAATTGATTCACCCAAGATTTGGACATAAACAATAATGTTTATTAAATTATTAGTAAGAAAAATGTACCTCGGAAATTATAATTGCCAAAAAGCAACTAATATCTCGTACGACGAAATTATTGAAGCAATTATGTTGTGTGGTAAAATCAAGTGCGATATTGTTCTTTTACCACAGATACTATATTATTTTTGAAATAAAACTTCTTTAGGCGCGACTGGTGAGTAAATCCAAGTAAATGCAATGGAAATTGCGTTACGCCCGAACTGTTCATAATTCGCGAATGAGATTGTGATTGCTCGTCGTGAAATTTATATTATTTATTTAAATATAGTGAAAAAATAAAACATTTGTGCCGTGTACTAAACGTAAGATTATTGATTAGAAATTATTTCTATATTATTCGTAGTTCTAAAAAAATATTTTATGGGCAAGACAGATATTACAGCTGCTTGAAAAATGAGACTGTATCGCCAGCGAAAAGTAAAACAAAAAATAAGCAGTCAATGAATGTATGTTCATTTTAGTTACATGAAGTTCTTCGAACACAATTATATGATGGGTGAAATTGTGTAAACAATATTTTTAGGCGTTGTTTAACATAATAAATCTCTGCATTTTATAGATATTAATAAATATTAAAGCAGTACAGCTTTATTCTAACACGCCAAAGATATATCTTTTTCAGAATTATATCTCAGACACTGCATGTTTTTCAATCATTTTTATAAATAAAGAAGAATGAATTGATATTCAAATTTGTTACTCTAAACAAGAAATCAAGCACAACAATAGTAATGTGTACAGATACATACATTTATATACAGATATACTTCATAATGGACATCTATGCAATTTATTTATTGATAGTGTTAACAAAATTATTCAAGATTGTTATATTACAGCTGTCCACTGTGTGAACGAATATTATAGAATTTTTTAATCAGCAATTACTTCATTTCTCTAAGGTTTAAGTTCTAAATGCTAATTACAATGACAAACCGATCATGTCGTATTTGAAGTATGACTTTAATTAGAAACATTATTCCAAATTGTTATATGATGTATTAATTTTTTTCTTAAATGCCATCTCGTACAATAGCAAAACAGTTTTAGTAAGAAAAATGTACTTTAGAAATTATGATTGCCAAAATGCAACTAATATCTCGTACGAGATTATAAATTACTGAAGCAATTATGTTATGTGGTAAAATCAAGTGTGATATTGTTCTTTCACCACGGATACTATATTATTTTTTTCTGAATTTCTTATACTGCTTATGCCAAGACCATAAATGAATCACAGAGGCAGCACATCGATTGGGATATTAAACAGTATAGGATAGGATATTAAACAATTTGGAAGTTTTGAATTGTAGACGTTGGTACAGGACAACATCTATCGGGTCATCTATAGTATACTTATAATCCTGACGAGTTCAATTCTAATCAAACTAGACACACAGTATCTCTAGCAATCTCTGGACAATTGTAACAAGTTGTATCCCTTATAAAGTGACTCATAACCTTCCTAGGGTACAGGATAACTAGTATACTTATGATCCTGACGAGTTCAATTCAAATCAAATCAGTCTATCGACAATTGTAACAAGTTGTGTCCTTTACAAAGTGACTCATAACCTAACTTTATACATATTCATGAACCCCATAAGTCTCTTATCCCTTATCACTTACAGGTTTGTCGTCCTCATCCTCGTCATCCACTTCAGCCAAAGGATCATCCCCATTCTGCACAAATTCCTCCTGGTTGTCCTGGTTCTCCTCAATTTCGGCATCGGTGGCGGCTACGGCCACAGATTCAATATCTCCATTTGTCGTTTTCGATTTAGCTCCTCGGCGTCCCATCGCTGATACTAGTTTTGAGACAAAATTCATTATTTATTTAGCCTTACCAAAAATCTACACTGTAGGTTAATGCATGAATTAACCTGTTTTGTCCGTTAAATAAGTGATATGTTTGATAAAATTAATAATTAATACCCAAAACAATATTAAAATTACTCGACAGCGACTTCGCTATGAAAACAAAAACGATACGCGCCAAAGGTACACTAGATAATGGATGTATGGATTGGAAACTGGGAGGAATGACATGGGAATAGCAGCATAGAGAGGTAATTGTTATGAGAATTTTGTTTGAAAGCAGTTCATGGTAAAAATACATCTCATTTTTTAAATTGTATATAAAATAATAATAAACTGGGTGTAAGTGGCATCGTGCCTTCAGGTAATTGCCTGAATCTACTCTGCGGCAATTTCAAATTTGAAAATCGCAGTCTAACGGTTAAATATTATAAAACTTGGTACGAAACCTATAGAAATGTAAATAAAATTGTACTAATTATCAAAATCTATATAAATTATCTGATAATTTGATGTGCATATGTCTAATGATCATTTTAGACTTCAAAATGGCGTTTTTTCAATATTTTTTTATAAGATCTCCGAAACCACTAGACCGGCTTTCCCAAAAATTTTATCAGTTCTTTATTTTGTCAATACAAATAAAATATTTTTTGAATCATTCAAATCGGACGCTCCGTTCTCCCAAAACTGTGTTGTTATTTTTGGCATTTTTTGCCCCGTATCTTCGAAACGGCTGGAACTGCCTTTGCCAAAAACAAATCAGCACGTCTTCTTATTAGTAAAAATCAAATGTTTTTTGAATCATTCAAATCGGTTGACGCGTGCTCTCGAAATCGTCGGTGAAAAATGTTATCCGCACATTCATACTTACTATACACATACAGGGTGGCTGATATGTATTGCAACCAGACCGCTATCATTTCTAAACGCTCATCAGACAGATGACAGATTATTCCAGTGATTGTTCATTTAGTTGTTTACAAGCGTACAAAAGCATTTTGAGTCCAAAAGCGGACAAAAAAAAAACACTAACAACACCAGAAATGATCCAAAAAGTATAGGCAAAAATCGGTCGAAATTCGAAAAAATGGCTCGTGATTATGTGTATTATTATGTACACAAATACTATTACTCATTCACCTACTATATTAAATTTACAAACACTGTTATATACTCTCGTACTATTATATACACAAGTACTATTATTCATTGCGTACTATATTATATTTACAAACACTGTTATATACTCTCGTACTATTATATACACAATTACTAATACTCATTGACGTACTATATTATATTTACACAACACTGTTATATACTCTCGTACTATTATGTATACAAATACTATCACTCATTGACGTACTATATTATATTTACAAACAACGTTATATACTCTCGTACTATTATATACACAAATACTATTACTCATTCACGTACTATTATACTTACAAACACTGTTATATACTCTCGTACTATTATATACACCAATACTATTACTCATTCACGTACTATATTATATACAAACACTGTTATATACACTCGTACTATTATGTACGCAAATACTATTACTCATTGACGTACTATATTATATTTACAAACACTGTTATATACTCTCGTACTATTATGTACGCAAATACTATTACTCATTGACGTACTATATTATATTTACAAACACTGTTATATACTCTCGTACTATTATATACGCAAATACTATTACTCATTGACGTACTATATTATATTTACAAACACTGTTATATACACTCGTACTATTATGTACGCAAATACTATTACTCATTGACGTACTATATTATATTTACAAACACTGTTATATACTCTCGTACTATTATGTACGCAAATACTATACTCATTGACGTACTATTATATTTACAAACACTGTTATATACTCTCGTACTATCATGTACGCAAATACTATTATTCATTGACGTACTATATTATATTTACAAACACCGTTATATACTCTCGTACTATTATATACACAATTACTATTACTCATTGACGTACTATATTATATTTACAAACACCGTTATATACTCTCGTACTATTATGTACGCAAATACTATTACTCATTCTCGTATTATATTATATTTACAAACAGTGTTATATACTCTCGTACTATTATATACACAAATACTATCACTCATTGACGTACTATATTATATTTACAAACACTGTTATATACTCTCGTACTATTATATACACAAATACTATTACTCATTGACGTACTATATTATATTTACAAACACTGTTATATACTCTCGTACTATTATATACACAAATACTATTATTCATTGACGTACTATATTATATTTACAAACAACTGTTATATACTCTCGTACTATTATGAAACATATACTATTACTCATTGAAATACTATATTATATTTACAAACACTGTTATATACTCTCGTACTATTATATACACAAATACTATTTCATTGACGTACTATATTATATTTACAAACACTGTTATATACTCTCGTACTATTATATACACAAATACTATTACTCATTGACGTACTATATTATATTTACAAACACTGTTATATACTCTCGTACTATTATATACACAAATACTATTACTCATTGACGTACTATATTATATTTACAAACACTGTTATATACTCTCGTACTATTATGTACACAAATACTATTACTCATTGACGTACTATATTATATTTACAAACACTGTTATATACTCTCGTACTATTATATACGCAAATACTATTACTCATTCACGTACTATATTATATTTACAAACACTGTTATATACTCTCGTACTATTATGTACACAAATACTATTACTCATTGACGTACTATATTATATTTACAAACACTGTTATATACTCTCGTACTATTATGTACGCAAATACTATTACTCATTGACGTACTATATTATATTACAAACACTGTTATATACTCTCGTACTATCATATACACAAATACTATTATTCATTGACGTACTATATTATATTTACAACACCGTTATATACTCTCGTACTATTATATACACAATTACTATTACTCATTGACGTACTATATTATATTTACAAACACTGTTATATACTCTCGTACTATTATGTACGCAAATACTATTACTCATTCGTATATATTATATTTACAAACAGTGTTATTACTCTCGTACTATTATATACACAAATACTATCACTCATTGACGTACTATATTATATTTACAAACACTGTTATATACTCTCGTACTATTATATACACAAATACTATTACTCATTGACGTACTATATTATATTTACAAACACCGTTATATACTCTCGTACTATTATATACACAAATACTATTATTCATTGACGTACTATATTTTATTTACAAACACTGTTATATACTCTCGTACTATTATGATACATATACTATTACTCATTGAAATACTATATTATATTTACAAACACTGTTATATACTCTCGTACTATTATATACACAAATACTATTATTCATTGACGTACTATATTATATTTACAAACACTGTTAATACTCTCGTACTATTATATACACAAATACTATTATTCATTGACGTACTATATTATATTTACAAACACTGTTAATACTCTCGTACTATTATATACACAAATACTATTATTCATTGACGTACTATATTATATTTACAAACACTGTTATATACTCTAGTACTATTATACACATATACTAGTACTCATTGACGTACTATTATATTTACAAACACCACCATATACTCTCGTACTATTATGTACACAAAATACTATACTCACTGAGTTTACAATATTTACAAACACTGTTATATACTCTCGTACTATTATATACACAATATACTAGTACTCATTGACGTACTATATTATATTTACAAACACTGTTATATACTCTAGTACTATTATATACACAAATACTATTACTCATTCACGTACTATATTATATTACAAACACTGTTATATACTCTCGTACTATTATATAACACAAATACTATACTCATTGACGTACTATATTATATTTACAAACACTGTTATATACTCTCGTACTATTATATACACAAATACTATTACTCATTGACGTACTATATATATTTACAAACACTGTTATATACTCTCGTACTATTATATACACAAATACTATTATTCATTGACGTACTATATTATATTTACAAACACTGTTAAATACTCTCGTACTATTATATACACAATACTATTATTCATTGACGTACTATATTATATTTACAAACACTGTTATATACTCTCGTACTATTATATACACAAATACTATTACTCATTCACGTACTATATTATATTTACAAACACTGTTATATACTCTCGTACTATTATATACACCAATACTATTATTCATTGACGTACTATTTATATTACAAACACTGTTAAATACTCTCGTACTATTATATACACAAATACTATTACTCATTGATTTACTATATTATATTCACAAACACTGTTATATACTCTCGTACTATTATATACACAAATACTATTACTCATTGACGTACTATATTATATTTACAAACACTGTTATATACTCTCGTACTATTATATACACAAATACTATTACTCATTCACGTACTATATATATTTACAAACAGTTATATACTCTCGTACTATTATATACACAAATACTATTATTCATTGATGTACTATATATATTCACAAACACTGTTATATACTCTCGTACTATTATATACACAAATACTATTACTCATTGACGTACTATATTATATTTACAAACACTGTTATATACTCTCGTACTATTATATACACAAATACTATTACTCATTGACGTACTATATTATATTTACAAACACTGTTATATACTCTCGTACTATTATATACACAAATACTATTACTCATTGACGTACTATATTATATTTACAAACACTGTTATATACTCTCGTACTATTATATACACAAATACTATACTCATTCACGTACTATTTATTTACAAACACTGTTATATACTCTCGTACTATTATATACACAAATACTATTACTCATTGACGTACTATATTATATTACAAACACTGTTATATACTCTCGTACTATTATATACACAAATACTATTACTCATTGACGTACTATATTATATTTACAAACACTGTTATATACTCTCGTACTATTATATACACAAATACTATTACTC